CTGAGAGATCAGTAAAGTATAGTAGTAATGGCAATATTACAGTTGGGCTGTGCAAATGATTTTAGAGGCAGAACCAGTAGTAGAAAGGGTTGCAACGTTCTCTTGATGTGATTCAAAGGGTCTGCTCTGTGCCTTGCCTTAAAGAAAAAAAACGGTGTTAAAACACATATAAACATAGGCCAGATGCAGTGGCTCACGCCTGTAATCCCAGCACTTTGGGAAGCTGAGGTGGGCGGATCACCTGAGGTCAGGAGTTCAAGTCCAGTCTGGCCAATATGGTGAAACTCCATCTCTACTAAAAATACAAAAAATTAGCCAGGCATGGTGTCAGGTGCCTGTAATCCCCATTGCTCGGGAGGCTGAGGCAGGAGTATCGCTTGAACTCAGGAAGTGGAGGTTTCAGTGAGCCGAGATTGCACCATTGTATTCCAGCCTGGGCAACAAGAGCAAAACTTGTCTCAAAAAAAAAAAAAAAGAAAGAAAGAAAAGAAAAGAAAAAAGAAAGGTAACAAACAGAAAATTTACCATCTTAACCATTCTTAAGTATACAGTTCAGTGGGTAATGTGCAGCCATCACTACCGTCCATCTCCGTAACCCTTTTTCATCTTGTGAAATGGAGACTCTGTATCCATTAAACTGTAACTGCCCATTTCTCCCTCCCCCCATTTCCTGGCAACAACCATTTTACTGTTTCTATGAAATTGACTACTCCAGGTACCTCATATAAGTGGAATTATATAGTATTTATCCTTTCGTGACTGGATTATTTCATACAGCATGATGGCATGTTGTCCTCCAGGTTTATCAGTGTTGCATGTGTCAGAATTTCCTTCCATTTTAAGGCTACATAATTTTTCATTGTATGTATATACCACATTTTGTTTAGCCATTTATCTATCAGTGGATGGGCAACTTGCATGTTTTAGTTATTGTAAATAATGCTGCTTTGAATGTGAGTGTACAAATACCTCTTGAAGGCTCTGCTTCACTTTTTTGGGTATAGGCCCAGAAGTGGAATTGCTGGATCATAAGGTGATTCTATTTGTAATGTTTTGAGGAACTTTCCATAGTGGCTATACCATTTTACATTCTGACTACAATGTACAAGTGTGGCTATTTCTCCACATCCTCGCCAACACTTATTTTCTGGGTTTTTTGATAGCCATCCTGACTTGTATGAGATGGTATCTGATTATCATTTTGATTTTATGCCTTGCCTTTTTAAATAATTTTTTTTAATCCTGAGAATAAACAATTATCCTCAAGGAGTTGATTGTGTAACTGAGATGATGAGACTTGAAAGATTAGAGGAAAAGTTTTCTGTGATGAAATAACGTTGCTCAGTTAATGTTTTTAGTTAGGTCAGATGCAGTGGGTTTTAGGGATGCCACCGGCGTAGTCAAATACATGCCATCATCCAGGCTGAACTTTATTTTACTATCCTTCCTCATTCCTGGCAACCATTGTTCATTGTAATTGTTCATTGCAGGTGATGAAATTAATATCTTAGTGGAGCAGTTGTTGGCTTGGTAGTAGAGTAAATGTTTGTAACCCAAATTGAGAGTTAGGAGCTGTTGATACATTTCTGCCTGGCATGAATTTGTCCGTTCATTTTCACCACTTTGTCTATTAGACTTTGAGTTTAAAAAAAAATTTTTTTTTTTTTTTTTTTTTTGGTTTGGAGAGTAGCTAAACTGTTTGAATCTTTTAAACAGATATTCTCTGAATGGGAATAAGAGAAACAGAGATGGAAGCTTTTTCTAGGATGCAAAGTGAAATTTGGAAATGTATGTGTTTTCTCTATTTTGTGTAACATGGTTACACAGATAGCTGTACAGAGCGATAGGCTCTGGACAGGAGAGTCAAAGCATCCTTATTTCTGTAAAACTCAGTTTATTTTCCTTAGGAGGCCAACGATCCTCCTTTAAAGATCCTAACTTTTTATTTGTGATTCACATTAAAAGGATCACTTTCAGTTCCTCAGAGCCCATTGGTGGTTTCGCTTCTTGGGTGTCTCTCCAGTTCAGGGGAATAAACTGAGGCTGAAGGGATCTACCTGTAGCCTAGTTCTTGATGGTTTGGAGGGAAGAGTCCTGGACTGTGGGTCGACCACTTTCCTTTTTTATCATCTCTTGGTCTTTTGTCAGCATGTGAGGACTCTAGCTGCCATGGGACTTCTTTGTGCCACCTTCAGAGTTGCCCTGCTATTCCCAGTCTCTACTTTGGGAAGTTGTTAGACAACTGGTGTACCGCAAAATGTGCTTCAGTTGCTACGTCAGATGCCTTTAGACGTATTAAGCGATAGGTTAATCTTAACTGGGTTGTCCAGGCCTGACCTGTTGCTGAATAACCAGACAGCAGTGCAAGACTTTACATGGGGCAGCATCATAAAGGCAACTAAGGGGTTGCCCCTGTAAGGAGTTAGGAGGACTGGTAGGAGTAGAAGAGGTTTTTTGGTGGATATAGGCCTCTGGCTATGGGGTTTTTTCTCTCTGTTACCACTCCCACAGATCTATAGCTGCTTTCCAGTACTGGATGACAACTCTAGAATTTTCTTAAAAGGCATTGACTAAACTGATAGTATTGGCTGAATTTATAAGTACAAGATAGCCAGCTTTGCTGGGCACGGTGGCTCATGCCTGCAATCCCAGCACTTTGGAAGGCCGAGGCAGGCGGATCACCTGAGGTTAGGCGTTCGAGATGAGCCTGGCCAATATGGTGAAACCCCATCTCTACTAAAATACAAAAATATTAGCCAGTTGTGGTGGCACATGCCCATAGTCCCAGCTACTTGGAAGGCTGAGGCACGAGAATCACTTGAGCCCAGGAGGCAGAGGTTGCAGTGAACTGCAATCGTGCCACTGCACTCCAGCCTGGGCCACAGAGCGAGACTCCCTCTCAAAAAAAAAAAAAAAAAAAAAAAAAAAAAAAGCAAAAGCCACCTTTTATTTTTCTTTTAACTTCTTAACATAATTTCAGACTTAAAAAAAAGTTGCAGGAATTCCCATATATGTTTCACTTGTTTCCTCAGGTGTTAACATTTGCTTTATCCTTCTTTGTCTCTCATATATACATCTATATAATTACATTTATGTTATATATTTTTTCTGAAGTGCTTGAGAGTAAATCATAGTCATCCATAAATACTTGAGTATGCATTTCTTAAAAATAAGAAGTTTCTTACATAACCCTACAATGCCTCAATCAAAAATCAGAAGGTAACAATTGATGCAATGCTCTTAGCTAATCTACAACTCTCATTCACATTTGCCTGTTATAATGTTCTTTATAACAAAGGAAAATCCCAGATTTCATGATTATATGCAGTTGTAGTCATGTGTTACATTCAGTTGTCACATTTTAAAAATCTGGAAGAGTTGCTCGGTTTGTTTCATGGCATTGACATACTTGAATCTTACGGGCCAGTTATTTTGTAGTGGGTCCTTTCCTGGCTATTTTTTGATTGGATTGTACAGGGCTCTTTTGCCCCAAAGTTTCGAGCTCCCTCGTAAACAAAAAAGGGACTAAGGAGTAAGGTTTCTAAGTGGAGTCGAGAACATGCACAGCAGCCACATCTGCTCTCCTGGGAATCCTGGCATAGCGGGCAGAGAGTGGGTATCATCATGGCAGCTGGTTCACAAGGACGCAGTGAGAGTCCAGCGTCTGAATTGAGCACCCCGTTATAGGTGATGCAAGAGCTCTGTGTTTCATAGTCCTCTCCCTCTGTTTTGTTGTGTGTTCAAAGCTGTATCTTAGTGACCAACAAAAGATGAAGGTTTCTCTGGCATATGTGTGTTACCTTTTCCCCCTCCCCTCCCCTTCCCCACCCCACACACAGGCTTTTTAAGTCTTGCTTTATTATTTCTTGGCAAATCCATTGACCTCTCCTTGCCTCTGCTATTATAACAGTGTTTCAGTGATAAAATACTCTTTTTCCTTAGTTACGTTTCTCTGTTAGCCACATTTGGGAAACAAAAGCACTGTGGCAAGAGTATATAGCATGCAGTCGGACTGCTTAGCTTTGATTCCTGCCCCCTCTGCCATGAGCTGTGTCATCTTGGGCAGATAGCTCAACTCTGCTACCTAGAGACTTTGTGAGGATTAAAAATGACATTATTAGATAATAAATTACTAAAAATATGAAAATAATAACACTTATCATTTATTGGGTGCTTACTATTATCCGGTCACCATTCTGAGTGCTTTATAAAGCATACTTGATTTATGATAGACTTACTTTTTCAGAACTGCTTCTATTCTTCAAACTCTTCGCTCATTTAAGACAAGTAATAATATGTGTAATGATAATAATCAAGTTTAAAGTGTTTAATCTTTCCAGCAGACTGAAAAGTTAGATAGAAGTTTTCAGTCACTGTTGTATCAGATTGATTTCTCCTTTCCTGATTCAACATCTCTCTCTTTAGGAACGGGATCTTTTGGGAAACATTAACTGGCTCTGTGCTGATTTCAGATTCTAGATATTAAGGAAATGGGAGTGGCGACAGGAAATGAGAGCCGGCAGCTGGGAAGCAAGTTTGTAACTTGATGTCAGTGAACTGGTCTTTCACTCCTGAAAGACAAAATTACATGTAACTCATTGGAAGAGCAGGTGTCTCACCATTTTGTTTCAGTTTTTCCATTTGCATGATATACAGCTGTTCAGAGCTATATTTTCCACTTGGCAGTTATCTAGTAAGCAGGAGTTTTATTTTTAAAGTGTGATCTGGGTATTCAAAATTTTTAAGTGCCCTCACTGTAACTACTTCACAATCTTGACACATAAGCTGTATGAGTCTGTAAATTATTTAACTTAATGTTAAAGGTTCTTACAGGCAAGCCCATTCTATTTCAGTTTTGCTCTTCGAATTTAGGCATGCTCTTTAATGCAACAGAGTGTACAAGATAGCATACTATCCATCTGATTGGCTAACATTGTTTTAAAGTTTTATTTATTAACTTCAGAAGGAGTCTCACTTCTGATTACTCTTGTGTATTTAAGCCAGTGAAGAAAAAGAAGATAAAACGAGAGGTTAAGATTCTGGAGAACCTTCGTGGTGGAACAAATATCATTAAGCTGATTGACACTGTAAAGGATCCTGTGGTAGGTGCCAAATGGTTGGGGGAGTATACTAGTAGACTGGGGTGTGGATATGGGGGTTGGTTAACACACAGAACCTCAAATAATGATATAGTGGGGATGATGGTGTTTGTCTTAATTACTGACTTGTTTGAAAACCAGAAAAAATTCATGGTGGCCCAGTGATGAAACAGCTACCACCACTGCGATGGAACTTAGAAGTGTACAGGGAAAGCCAGGCGCGGTGGCTCACGCCTGTAATCCCAGCACTTTGGGAGGCCAAGGTGGGCAGATCACAAGGTCAGGAGATTGAGACCATCCTGGTCGATATGGTGAAACCCCGTCTCTACTAAAAATACAAAAATTAGCTGGGTGTGGTGGTGCGCACCTGTAGTCCCAGCTACTTGGGAGGCTGAGGCAGGAGAATTGCTTGAACCCGGGAGGCAGAGGTTGCAGTGAGCCGAGATTGCACCATTGCACTCCAGCCTGGGCAACAAGAGAGAAACTCTGTCTCAAAAACAAAACAAAACAAAACAAAAGCGTACAGAGAAAAATCCCTCTTCTGGGTTTGTACTTCACTATTTTGATTCAGCCCACAAATGTTTGCTGAATATCTCCTTTAAGCCCCTGCCTCTCTCCAGTTTTGAAAGTTCATTACTGTACCTCACTTAAGTAAGCATGACATTTGAAAATCTGGGTTTACACAGGAAATGATGAACAGCTCCACGTGGACACCTGGCATAAAGGCCTGAGCAGGTCCCCACTCTACCGACTCCTTGAAGAAGTCTTGCTCTTTCCCTTAATTCAGCATTTGCCCTTAGAGCTCACATCACATACGTAGATAAACTAAAATATTTTTGTTAATGCTTAAGGTTTAGTCATTTTAGATGTTCTGTTTAACTTTGTTTTCTTTCCCTAGGGAGTAACTTAACCTTAGGTGTTTTTGATTAGCTAAGATTAGAGACACCTCACCTCCCCATTTTTATACCCCCTCCTGTCCCACTGCCGTTCGCCACCTGCTTTACCTCAGGTGTTTCCCTGTTCTCCTCCCATGATAGTTTTGTTAGTTAAAGAAATAGGTTTTTGTATCTGGCTGCTAAAGACATCCTCATAATAATGTAGTAGCTAACATTCATTGAGTGCTTACTGTATGCGGGGCACATTCCCAGTGCCCAACTGTGTCATGTAACTCAGTCCTTACAACAGTTCATTGGGGTGGGTAACATTTATTTTTCACATTGTACCGATGAGAAAACTGTAGTTTGCAGAGGTTAAAAAGTTTACTCAAGATGACACAGTAATCTTGAACTGAAGCATAAGGCAGGTTTTTCCTTCTGGACCCTGAGAAGACTGAGAAGGGAAGGAATGGTTGTACACCAGATTGTAACTAGTTTGGCCTTTAAGATATATCCTGTCCTTTTAGCACAGATCGATTTTATAATGACTAGTTCTAGACTGCCTCATGTTTGAAAATGGGCTGCATTAGAAATGAGTACCCATTGAAAAGTGAGTACCATGTAAAATATGAATTTCAGAATAATTTTTAAAATGTGAGTCAGTATGTGGTACACTGGGAGCATTTTTGTTTTTCTTTTAACAGAACTTAGTGATACATCTTATTTTTGTAATTTTTTTAAGTATGTGTATGTTTTACATGATAAGTACGACCAGTAAATTGAAGTTGACAGAAATCAACAGGGACCTCTTGTCTATTAGAAGATGAGGCTTACTTCACAGCCTGTAGAGAGAGGTGGTAATGTTGATGAAACCCTTACAGCTTCAGGCTGGTGAAGAATTACTTAATCATGGCTGCTACTGGCACTGCTGTTTGGACTCTGAGTTGTCCTCAAACAGAGATGCATGCTGCCCTGTGGCCTGTTTCCTAGGTAACTTTTACATGGTCCTTGAGCAAAAGATTCTAGATGATTTTTTTTTTCCTGTAGTCCCTTAAGTCTCTGCTTTCTCCCAATTTTGAAAGCTTATGACTGCCAATTAGCATGATTTTACTTTATTTAAGGAAATCTGATATTTGAAAATGTAGATTTACACAGGATAATGAACATTTTTGTACTCACTGGATTAGAGATTATAGTGCTTTAAAAATATTGATTATGAGTTTTTAGGAACAGGTCTGCTTGATAAGATGAGACAATCTTTAATGGTCTCTAGCCAAGGCAGTAATAGTATAGTATAGTTTATTGATAATGTCACGGATGGTTATATTTTCCTTTTGGACCCCCAAAAGACCTATGATACATTCCCAAAACCTATGATAATTCTGTCAAGTACAATTATGGCTTCCTAAACTAAGATGAAAATGTGTCGCCCCCTTTTTTTTTTTTTTGTATATAGTTGGCAAACTGGAACAATGCAGGGTGTAAATCCTCATATAACCATTGAAGATTGGTTAAGGCCCTTGGTAGGTTATTCACAGAATAACATTCCTTTTAAAACTTTTTCTTAAGAAATTTTCAATCATTTTCAAAAGTAAATGAATAATAATAATGAACCTTCCTTCACACATGACCCAACTTTAGCAGTTAATCAGCTGTGGCCAACCTTGTTTCATCTATACTCCCACCACTTCCTACCTCCCACTATCCCCAGTTATTTTGAAACTAATTCCAGACATCATAAAATTTCAAGAGAATTCTTTTCTTGACAGGCTGTTGCAGATAAGGGAACCCCTTTGTACCTAAGTGGGATTTGGGAATGGGCCATTTTGGCAGAAGCAGATTATATTGGTTATTTGGGTACTTAAAAAGCATTACTGTTCTCTTTTACAGTCAAAGACACCAGCTTTGGTATTTGAATATATCAATAATACAGATTTTAAGGTGCGTATGCTTTTCTTTCTGGCATGGGGTTAACAGGGTGAGGGGGAGGTGGTAATAAGTACCGTGTACTCCAGAACCCAAGCAGCCAGGGCTGTCATTGGTGAGAGTAGGAAATAACAGATTGGGTTCCTTAAACCGTGAATACAGGATGCAGAAAGTGGTTAGGGTTCTTGCATTGGGTGAAATTACTCATCACCCTTTGCCTTGCCTACTCCAGGAGTAAGTGCTCGGCGGAGTCTAAGCTAATGCCTCATCTGTAACACTCCTGTTTTAGGCAGCATTGCTTTAATTGTATGTTAACTTTGATTTTCGTAGGAGATCTTACTTTGCCGAGAGGAAGGGTTAGACTGATGCAAGGCTCTTGTGAAAAGAAGCAATGCATTGGATTCAGTGCTGTCAAATAATGAATGTGTCTTTGTGCACGTGACGTACAAAGAAATGGATTCAGAAAAACCAGAGTCAGTACTTTAGAAGAGGCCTATCCCGAGTTTTTAACATTTTCTTATAATGTAAATTATTTTGGACGTTGATGTGTTTTACTAAAATCATGATTTTAAACTGGTTTTTCACAAATTTTATTGTTCAAACATTAAAACCTTAGTTTCTATCAAGGTTTTTGGGGTTATGCCTGCTAGACCTGGTGGAAACTCTTTTTTTAGAGCCTGATTTGAAAACCAGTATACAAACAAAATAGTGTTGATTTTCAGGGGCATTTAGAGGACCTGTGGTTGATTGTAACTCTTGTCAGTGAATAAGAGACTTACGATTTTGTTGTGACAGGAGCTAGAGACAAAACTTAATCAGCAGTTGAAAGATGTTGGTATCAGGAGGGATGGTTCTGGGTGAAAATAGAGAACCTTATTCTCACACTTAATTTTTCTTAATCACTCTAAAATGACTAAAGGTCAATTAGTGAAAAGTAAGCAAAAGAAGATATTTCGACTTACAAAACAATAAGTAGGAAGTTTTACATGTAGAGCACTTCCCACATGTGATAGATTTTCTTGTTAATGTGACTCCTTACAGGTGAAATCAGCAATGAACTCTAAAATTAAACAGGGTGTAAATTTTTTCATTCAATAGCATAACAGCACTTAGCTGGTAGGGTACTGTGCTGTTATGTATGTGTAGCTGATCCTGTGAATCACCCAGGTTTATCCTGGTATATGTGAGTGGGAATGTGTGTGCATGCCTTAAAAAACCAGACAGACTTTAATGAAACCAAACATTTTCCTAATGTAAAAGTTTAAAGGCTGATCTGAATGGAACTTCATACACACTGCAGTTCTCCAAGTTTTAAATGCTTGTGCCTTGTTAATGAGTTTTTACCAATTGTCTAGCTACATGTGCAGAATTTTACCTCTGCATTTTGTATTTCTTAAAGTGCCATCTGCTCTGTTGATTTAACAGCATGTTCAAGATCAGTTAGCGGGAATTCTAATTTCTTAGAGAAATTCTCTCTGGGGTCTTAACCCTCAAAGGGGATGTTTCATGCATTCTCTCATAGCATTCTTTAAAGGGATCATGGGAAATTAATGCTTTTTTGAGGCCTGCATATCTGAAATTATTTTTATTTTGTCCTGCCAATTAATGTACTTGCTAGAGTATAGAATTCTCGGTTATAATTCATAATTTCCTTGATTTTGAAGAGATTGTTCCATTATTACCACTGAAGCCATTCTGGTTTCATCTTATTTTGTTTTTATTTTTTTCCTCTGGAAGCTTTTAGGATTTTCTCATTTCTAGTCTTCTGAAATTTCACAATGGCGTGCCTTCATATGGGTCCCTTTTATCTTTTGTTCTGCATACTTGCTGGGCTTTTTCCTCTGTTTTGGAAAAATATTTTTAATGTTCTTTGATTTTTCTCCCCTTTCTTCTTTGTTCTCACTTTCCAGAACTCATTCAAATGTTAGACTTCACATCTTACAGCTCCATTTTGGTCTCAGAACTTTTTAAAATAGTATCCTGTTCTTTTATGTTTTATGTAATACCTTCTATTTTCTCACCAAGAATATTGTATTTTTCCCCTTCATACTTTTTCCTCTATCTTTCTTTGTGTGTGAGTTTTTGTTATTTGTCTCTGGATGGTTCTTGAATGTCTGCTCATTGCTCTAAAGAGCCATCAGCTGCCCCTGTCTCAAGGATGCAAACTTAGCTGCTGGTATCTTAGCCTCAAGTTGAGAACCATGGTGAGTGTGGCGCAGACTTCACCTAATTCTCCAGTTTTCAATCTGGCATCTTAAACCCATGTTTCTGTTTCCACTGCACTCTGTTTGCTCTTCTAGACCAACATTGGAGGTCCCCAGTCCTGAGCCTTTCTGACGTTGTTCAGTTTGAAGCTGTTTGTTTCTGGCCCCCTTTCACTGTTGGTAGAGACACGTTTTGTAGCTTCACAATGTTGTTTCTCCTATCTTCTTAGTTCTTATGATTTAATCTCCCTGCCCCTTTTACTGATACTTTAGAGGAGTTTCAGGTAGAGCAGAGGTGTTTGATCTGCCATGTTTAACTGGAGGTCCCCTTTGAATGTTCAAGGCATGATATTTTAGTCAACTTAAGAGATCATTAAATATCAGATGGCAGATGTGTATTTTTGAAGAGCAAATCATGGCAGGAAAATTATATTCTTTTCCAGATAGTATGGCAGGCCACAAACAGAGAATTATTTAGTTCAATGTCCTGAGGTCCTTTAGTCTTTTTATTTTGTCCTGTGTCATCTTATTAGGAAAGTTTGTTTTTATTTTTTACCTTTTTCATTTTAGTGTAAAGTCTATTAATAACTGGTTTTAAGGTTATCACCCAGAGAATGTTTGTCCCTGGCTTAATATAAGGGTGAGCTAACAGTGATGCAGCCCACAGCCCATTCTTTTCCGTATTTTATATTAGTGAAATGGATTATAAATTTTGACGTTTGATTTTATTTTATCATAGGATCCTTCTCTAAATTTGGTATCAAGGTTATATGTAATGTAAGATAGATCGAGTAGCTTTTCCTCTTCCTATTCTCTGAAAGTTTATATGAGATAGGTATTATCTGGGTAGATGTCTTTCAAGGGTGGGAGGAAGACTTTGAACTTTCCTTTTTAAAGCATTTTATAGGTTAAAGATTTATCCAGGTTTTCTGTCTCTTGAGTCTATTTGGATAATATGTATTTTATTCACTTTCAATTTGATTGACATAATAATTTTCTTAGAACTTAAAAACTACACTGTTGACTGGTCACCTTAAAAAAAAAAAATAACTGGCGTATCCGTTGTTATCCTTTCCTTCACATTTTTAAACAGTGTGTGTGCCTTTACTCGTTTTCTTTTTAAATCAGTCTTTCTAGAGATCTCTTATTAATCCTTTAAAAGAACCAGCTTTTTGATTTTATTGCTCAGCTGTTATTTTTGTTAGTTGTTTTCTTTCTGCTCCTATCTTATTTTTCTTCTTTCTTCCTTCAACCTTGTTGGGCTCTCAGTGGTTTTCTTCATCATTTCTTGAGTTGAATTAAACTTGTTTTTGTTTTTCTTGACAATACATGTGCTTAAGTTTGTACAACCCTAAGCATTGTTTTACCTGCATCCATGGTTGTAGAACTGACTTCTGGATAGTTTTCAAACTGGAAATCCAAACTGCAACATTGTGAATTTGCATTTTTCTCCCCAGACCTTTTACTTTGAAAAGTGGAAAGAGTAGCATGATCAGTACCCTTGTACCCTTCACCTAAGATTTACCAGTTGTTACTGTTTTGCCACATGTGCAGTTATTTCTCTCCCTGTCCCCTAACTCACTCACTCTCTCTCTCTCTCTCTCTCTCTCTCTCTCTCTCTCTCTCTCTCTCTCTCTCCCCTCTTGGGAGACAGAGTCTTGCTCTGTCGCCCAGGCTGCAGTACAGTCACCTGATCTCGGGGGTTCAGTGCAACCTCTGCCTCCCAGGTTCAAGTGATTCATCTGCCTCAGCCTCCCAAGTAGCTGAGCCTACAGGTGTGCACCACCACACCCAGCTAATTTTTTGTATTTTTAGTAGAGATGGGGTTTCACCATGTTGGACAGGCTGGTCTTGAACTCCTTACCTCAGGTGGTCCGCCTACTTTGGCCTCCCAAAGTGCTGGGATTACAGGTGTGAGCCACCACACCCAGCCTCTCCTATCTCTATTTTATCTTTTTGCTGAGTCATTTTAAAGTAAGTTGCAGACATCATTATGATACATCAATTGTAAATACGCTAGCACTGAAGCTAGGCTGTTTTCCTCCGCAAACCACAATACTCTTAGTACACTGAAGAACTTTTATGTTTATACAATAATGCCATCTAAGACAAAGTTCACACTCAGAAGTTTCTAGGTATTGTTTCAGTAGTGTCCTTCATAGCTGTGTGTTTGTGAATGTATGATCCAGGATCCAGTTGAAATTTTAAAAAATTTCTTTGCACTATATTCAGAGAACATGACCTATATGTTAATTATTTGGGATTTGTTGATGGTTGCTTTGTAACTTTAGTACATGATCATTTTTTATACCAAACTTGTTAATTTAGTTCAGAATTATGGTCTACTAATTTTTTTTCTTGTATTTCACCTTCTGGTAGAGGTATTGGTTTGGTCAGTTTCTCCTTAAAATCAAGTTTTTATGCTTCATATATGCCAAAACTGTAATAAAGATATTTTAGAGCAAGACAAAGCTTCAGAATGAATGAGAAAAGCCAGTCTTTTCTGGAATGAATAACTGCAGCAACTTCACATACTTTAAAGCCAGGCATGGTAGCTCACACCTGTAATTCCAGCACTTTGGAGGGGCAGATCACCTGAAGTCAGGAGTTGGAGACCAGCCTGGCTAACATGGAGAAAACATATCTCTACTAAAAATACAAAAAATTAGCCAGGCGTGGTGGCACACACCCGTAAGTCCCAGCTACGGGGGAGGCTGAGGCAGGAGAAGCACTTGAACCTGGGGGACAGAGGTCGCCGTGAGCGGAGATCTCTCCATTTTACTACAGCCTGGGCGACAGAGCAAGACTCTGTCTCAATTAAAAAAGTCTCAAGGGAAGCTAAGGTACTATTTTGAAATACAAAAAAAAAAAAAAGATTTTGATAAGACACTCCAAATGGGCTCCATCCCAAGAAGCTGGTAGAATCACATTGATATGTGCAGAATTTCTCAATTGCTCACGTAGATGTAAATCACCACTTAGTAGATGGTGTGAGGCCTGAGTTCACAGACTAAATACAGTTTCCTTAATTGGAGAAACAAATTGTACTTCTTTGTCATGTGTGTTATTACAGGTTGTTGACATTTTGTTATTTCCTTGTAGGAAAATAAGTGACATTTTCAGGTGATTTGTAATAACTTTGATCTGCTTGATTAAAGATTTATTCTGCTTCCTTAAATTTCTAAAAATGTTGACCTTGGTTTTATTCTGGATCTTGGAGGTTACTTGTAAACAATTCTTAAACTGGTGACTAGTGTAGTAAACACCTTTTTTACTTTGACTTTATAGATCCCACCACTTTTTCTCCTCTCTACACATGACCACAGGGATTTATGGGCATGGACTGCCCAGAGCTATGTGGGAAGCTTTCTTATAAAGTGTGATCTTCCTGAAGGTCATGGTGGGAATGGGGTCTTTGAATCTGTGGCTCACAGTGATAGAGCTGAATCGCACCTAGAGTCTGAACAGCTGTTCATATGCCTACGGTAGCCGTAAGGCCCACATGTGGTCATGCCATTGTGGGTGTCTGTGGTTTTAGACCATGGGGACCCTGATTCTGATGATCAAATTACAGTTTCTGCCATTCTTCTCCTTAGACTTTTTGGAGCTAATTAAAAGGCCCAGGAAATTTCCACCTTTTAAGTCATATATTTTTTGAAAATGTAAGCAAAGCTAACTTCCTGCCAGCATTTTGCAGTGGATTTTTAAATAATGTTCTCCCCATAGCTGGCTAAGGAGAAGGGAGGGAAAATGTGGTTCTTGTGACGTTTCTTTTTCTAATGTGTCATGGACTCTTGATGCTTCTATTTCTTGGAAAATTGCTTCTGTTTTTGTTCCACTGACTATGAACATTGTAAAAACATGTATGCAAGACAGAGCTGACATACGTGGTGTTCTGTGTATGAAGCACCTGCTCTTGTGCTGTGTGAGGACTTTGTATGTGGTTGGAGTTGAGTGTGGGAAGTGGGAGTGGTATTGAGTGGGTTGCTAAGTGGGCCATTGGCATACTTGGGTCGTGGGGGAAGTTTAGAGATCCTTTATCACCAAATTCGATGACTCTGCCGCCAGCCACTGTACTCATTTCTCCCGATCATATGCGTGTGCCATGAAGCACAGGGAATGTTGGCATGGGATTCTTGGGGGTCTGGACAAAGCACACAGCTGAGTGAGGAATCACCTTGAGAACCTGAGGTCACCACCAGTCCCTGTGTGAGGAATGTTAATTCTGTGGACGCTGTGTTCTTATGGTGTCGTGTGCACAGCCATGTTGGAGAGTCAGTGGCATGGAGATCGAGAAGGAAGGTATCATTGTCAGCTCTGTAGAAAGCCAATGGGTTGGGTTTGGCTTTCCAGGCTAAGGTGGAGCAGGGCTACAGGTGAGAGAATGGAGGCAGCAAACATGGGCTTGTTTTGTCAGAGTTAGGGACTCCTGAGGGGTGCAGTGAAGAACAGAGCTACAGAAGTCAGAGGAAGCCAGACTGTGGACCCTGCATAGTCTTGGGTTTTAGGCCCAGGCAGTTAAATGTTACAGATGTAGGTTGGTCTTCTCCTACCCAGAGATCCTGAGAAGTGAGGGTGAAAGGCAGCCAGTCACTAGGGACTTTGTAGTATCTTAGGCCTAAATACTGGTATACAACTGGTGTCTTGAATTAAATTGTTAATGGTTGTAGTAGCTAGAAATACTGTGTTGGCAGTCCAAAGACATTTATTTTTATGGCTTACCCATTTACACAGATACATGGTGTAGGTACCACCTGATGAGGAAAGCCTTCCACAGATAAAAGTCTAATAAAATAGCCCATGCTAATTTTTTGGAAATAAAATGCTCCAACCCTCTAAGGGTTAGAAAATTTGATCTTTTCTCTTTCATAGGGTATTTTTTTGACTTGAAGTTCATAGGGTATTTATTGACTTGAAGTCCAATTTAGCATAGTCTCTGTGAATGATTTCCTTAACTCACAGAGGAGGAGCTGCTTTGACACCCAAAAGATGGCATCTTAAGCCTCTGTCTATACATTCAAGCTGTCAGTGTGCAGCCAAAGTAGAGCTGAGAGAGAACAAAAAACTTGCGTATGTGTTATGTAGCTGAAGCTCTCTTGAGCAGAAGTCGTGGCTTGTTGGTGCTGTTCTGCCTAAATGGGGTTCAGCTGTAGCCAGGGCCAGCTACCCACTCCACAACACTGTGTGCTGGCCTGTGTATTTCATTCCCTGCGCTGCCCTGAGGTTGATGAAAAAAAAAAGTTTCCTAAGCTGAAAGGGGGAATTACCGAAAGGGGGAAACTTCAGAAAGCAAAGACCTGGTATTCTTAGAAAATGTTAAATTTGGTTCTCGGCAAATTTGATGTTTTTATTAAAATTTTTTGAACATTATATTTGGATCAAAAATATAAAATGGTAGTGAAAACTCTTTTACTCCCCTGTATTCCAGCTACATATTCCTCTACACATATATACAGGAAACCAGTTTCTATATCATTTTTGCAGATACAGAAAATGTGGATGTATAGTTTTATTTCCCCCCCATTACACAGATACATTGTATACACTGTTCTGTGTTCTCTGGAGAGATTCCCTACATTGCTTGAGTCTCTCTTCTAATGGAAGAACAAGAGAAGTTTAATAAAGGCGTGTTTCTTAATTTTATGGAAAGTGTGGGGCTTAGATTGATGGGAGAAGAGATTTACTTGGATTTGATCTCGACTATCAAAGATGAGAGTTTCTGACAAGGGTTTATGATGCTTTAAATGAAGCTTGTAGCATTAATGTATTTTTACTCTTGGAAAATTTTTTAAAACTCCCAGTGAGTGCATCTTTGGATTATCAATAATGAAAACTTTCCATTGTTTATGAGTTTGGCTGGTGATTGTTTTTGATACCCTCTTTTTCACTCCTAAGCCATCAGTTGTTGCCTGTGAAATGTTCTTTTTTTCCAGCCTGGAGTTGGTTTCTGGGGAGCGGAGGGTATAGATTTTTTTGTAAGCTCTTGCCATCTGCAAATGCTGTAGCACCTCCTTTTTCCTTGTTTCTTTCGAGAACAGCCTATCTCGCCACTATTTTACCACAGTAGCCCGTGAAGTTCTTCAGAGATCTTCTATCCACTCAGAACCTACTTTTCTAGAGTATACTGTGGTGCTGCAGTGGGGTTAGAGTTCTTTACAGTAAGAATGTGAAGACAGACAACTTAGAGACTTCACATGGTGTAATTGTGGCTAATGATTGTAACTGGCAAAATCACAGAGCATTAAATAGGAAAGATCTGAGCTGACTTAAATGGTTTTTCTCCCTTGGAATTCCTTCCTTTTTTTTTCTTCTATGATTGAAATTAAACCTTCATCTTAGACTTTGCTCCCATTTATTTCAGATCAGGTAGTAAAAAAAGTCATGGGATTCCTTAGTCACTTAAGTATGAAGTAAGCTTAGAGAATGGCCCACACTTGGGATGACAAGACGCAATGAGACTAAATTAACTTTCTGTTTTCTGGAATCTGTTTCAGCAACTCTACCAGATCCTGACAGACTTTGATATCCGATTTTATATGTATGAACTACTTAAAGTAAGTGGCATTCATAAACCGTTAATTTTTTTCAGGCTTGTTCATTAAAAGATAAGTTTTTGAGAGAGCAAAGAGAACTCAAGCAAAATGTTTCTTGACATCCAGAGGATTTAGTGAAGTTTTAAAATCTATATTGAGGATTCCATCGAGGAATCTTCACGTAGAAACTTTCCAGTGGAACTGAGAAAAAAATGGCCAAGTCAAGGGGTAACAAGGACGCTATACCTTAGAACCTCCCATAGCTCTTGTTGGTCCCTGAGTTTTCTCTTTGCTGCTTTATTAATACTTAACTGTGAATATAACAAATCACCCCAAACTTAATGATTTTTTAAAAATGATTATTGTTTCTTATAATTCTGTGAGTTAGCCCGATGATTCTTTAGGTCTCAGTTGACTTGACTGGGGCAAGATGGCTTCACTGACAGTCTAGACCACAGCTCGGGCAGCAGGGATAGCTGAGGTCTCATCTTCCAACCCGTGAAGTTCATGCTGCTTCCCATGGTGGTCCTTCTGGGTTTCCTAGCAGCAGAGAAGGGGAAACCTCAACGTATAGGTACTTTTCAACCCTCTACCTGTGTCATATTTGCTAATACCCTATTGACCAAAGCAAATCACATGACCAAGCCTAGCTTCAAGGGGTGGAAAAACTGACTCCGCTTCTTGATAGAAAAAGCACTGAAGTCATATTATAGAGGTACATGCCTACAGGGGTGGCAGGCATTTACAGCCATCTTTCCTTGCCATGTATCATCATCCCCTTCTTGGACGAGTCTTCCTACCCTTCCCCTGTAGCCCTGGCTTGTTAATGCAGGGAGAAGTGATGGGTAGAATATCTAAGACTTACTAATCCCAAGCACAATGAAATTTTGTAGAATTACTGGTTGCTAGAGGAATGATCACTTTTAGTTTGCCTAAAGATAAACACTTTAAGAATTCTCAATTTGTAAAACAGAATATACCCACGGGTCCTAGATTTTTGTGTTGTGGATCACCAAGAACCTAATGAAAACTATGAACTCCCTCCAAAAATGCATGTCTTAATCTGCAGTCTTGCGAAAAGTTTGAGGGTAGTTGTAGATCTTAAGAACCTCTGAAATGAGATGATTTAAGGTACTGGTGTTACTGAAGAAAATGGCCAAGATGGAGTTTTGATGGGATTGTGAACTAATTACCGAGTTGAATCAAGGCTGGGCTTTAGGGAATGGGAATTTGAAGAACTAGTTCTGTGAAATGAATGTGTTTTTATAAGAACTTGTACGAACCACTTATCATTAGAGAAAGCTAAGGTGGGGGATTGAAGGGTTCACTCTTATGACTAGTTGGTCTTCTGTTTTGTCAGTAAGATCAGAAAGACAGGGAGGTTGAGCTTGATTTATCCCACCTTTCTCCTTATCTTCTCCAGACTAGAATTGAAGCATTGGTGTGGGTGAAATTTACAGTGCAATGTTCCTGTGAACTGTCAGGCTAGCTGGAGGCACCTTTCCTGGAGGTGCTTCCTGAGTAATCCCATGCACTCTCACCCCATGAAAGCTACAATTCAAAGCTCACGGTTGGTTATTTTTAAGTAATGTAGTATTGAAATTTTGTGTTACTAAACCATCAGCCAAACCTAAAGTTGAATAAGCTACCCTACTCTTAGGTCCCATAAAGACATCCAACTAATAATGGAGGTCTTCCCAGGTAGACACGCAGGTGTCGTTCAATGTCTGATGTCCTTTCTGCTTTCTGGAGGTAGCAGCTAGGCAGTAAGGGCATATACTTATTTTTGCTAATGAAACATAGAATCCCAGATGAAACTTGAAAAACGTCTTTCATGCTTAATGGTCAGAAACTGTACCAGATTTTAAAACTGAAGTAATTCCCCAAAGAATTTCAAAGCATGTCAGTAACTCCACAGGGAGTCTGACTAAGAAACTTGGCAAAAGAATTAATTACCTTACTGTATTTGTTCAGCCTTTGCTTTCCTCGCGTATTTTTCACATCCCAAATATTGTGGTCTTGATTATTTTATTCCTTTGGACAAAGAGTAGGCAATATAGCAGAATCAACACTTGGTAAATTTTCTCTTTGAAAATAAAAAATAGGAGTGGAGAAGATTAAATATTTAACTCCTTTGAAAATGTAGAAGCAACTGAGGCTGAGAGCTGCAGTGTGATGACTCAGTGACTCACTGAGGGTTTGTTGTGCTACCTGATCTGATTCAGATTCAGGGAGGTCTGCCCCCAGGACCCCTGGTTTCATAAAGCACTGCCACGAAGTCACTTTGGAAAACAGAGGGAAAAAACTGAAGTAGAATGTAAGTGAAGTAAATAAATCTTAAATGTACAGTCTTTTGGATGTTTGTGTATGTCCAACTCTCACACAGATTTACACAGGATGATGCTATCCAGTATAGTTAGTAGCCACCGCCCATAGGTAGCTATTTCAATTAAGTAAAATTTAAAATTTAGTTCCTGGCTGGACTTGGTGGATCACGCCTGTAAATCCCAGCAGTAAGGGAGGCCAAGGCAGGTGGATTGCTTGAGCTCAGGAGTTCGAGACCAGCCTGGGAAACATGGTGAAGCCCCATCTCTACAAAAAATATGTATGTAAAAATTAGCCAGGTGTGGTGCATGCCTATGGTCCCAGCTACTCAGGAGGTAAGAGGATCCACTTGAGCCTGTGAGGCAGAGGTTGCAGTGAGCTGAGATTGTGCCACTACAGTGTAGCCTGGACGGCAGAGCAAGGCCCTGTCCAAAAAACTAAAATAAAGTAATAAAACTTATTTCCCTCGTCAAACTAGCCACATTTCAGGTCCTCAGTGGCCTCATGTGGCTAGTGGCTGCCATATCACACAGTGCAGGAATAGAATATTTCCATCACTGCAGAAAGTCCTGTTGCACAGGGCTGGTAGAGAATTCTGTACCAGCCTGCAGGGCTCTCTCGTGTTCTCTTTAGTGTCTCCTCCTCTGAAGATTATATTCTTATCTCTATCCCCATAGTTTAGTAGTGCCTATTCTTGATCTTCAAATAACAAGCATCATATATTGTATTGTACTCTTTTGGTTTACGGAAAAAGCACAGATTAGGGGAGCTTATTCCTGGAATGCTAATCCTAGGACTCTTTCCCTGGCTTGTGTACTCATCCAGCAGCCTGAGGGTTTAAGTTTCTCCACATTCTCGTCAACACCTGTCAGGTTGCTGGTGGGAGTAAAAGTGATGCAGTCACTTTGGAAGATAATTAGGCAGTTTCTTAAAAAGTTAAACATAGGCCTAGGCTGGGTGTGGTGGCTCACACCTGTAATCCCAGCACTTTGGGAGCCAAGGCGGGTGGATCACCTGAGGTCGGGGGTTCGAGACCAGCCTGATTAACATGGAGAAATCCTGTCTCTACTAAAAATACAAAATTAGCTGGGCATGGTGGAGCATGCTTATAATCCCAGCTACTTGGGAGGCTGAGACAGGAGAATCACTTGAACCTGGGAGGTGGATGTTGCAGTGAGCCAAGATCGTGTCGTTGCATTCAAGAGTGAAAATTTGGTCAAAAAAAAAAAGTTGAACTTGGCATACAACCCAGCACTTCCACCCCTAGGGGAAATGAAAGCATGAGTGGAAACAACCCAAATGTCCATCAGCTAGTAGTGGAATACTACTCAGCAAGGAAAACAACTTGGATGAATCTCAGAAACAGTATGCTGAATGAAAGAAAGTAGACAAAGCACTATACATGTATGATTTCATTTATGAATGTCCAGAAAAGGCAAACCTATACCAGCAAATAGCAGGTCAGTGGCTGGGAGCAGGGCATGGAGGGGGTTGGGAGTAGTTAGGAGAGGAGATTGACTACAGACAGGCTCAAGAGAAATTTTAGGGGTGATGGAGATGTTCTAAAACTGGATTGCAGTAATGGTTGCACAACTCTTTAAATTTATGTAAAACCATTATATACTTAAAATCTTACCTATATGTCAATTGTCTTATACAAAGCAATTTTTTCCCTTGGAGAAATAATGTAATGTTAATTCTTTTTTCTTTCTTTTTTTTTTTTTTTTTTGAGACAGAGTCTCACTCTGTTGCCTAGGCTAGAGTGCAATGGTGCCATCTCAGCTCACTGCAACCTCCACCTCCCCGGTTCAAGCAGTTCTCGTGCCTCAGCTCCACAAGTAGCTGGGACTACAGGTGTCCACCACCTCGCCTGACTAAATTTTTTGTACTTTGAGTAGAGACGGGGTTTCGCCATGCTGGCCAGGCTGGTCTGGTCTCCTGACCTGAAGTGAGCTGCCTGCCTCAGCCTCCCAAAGTGCTGGGATTACAGGCATGAGCCACCATGCCTGGCGTGATGATAATTCTTAAAGGCCAGCTGGCTCAGTGATTATATTTAAGGAAAATACTAACATTTGGTCATCTAGAAAACCCATGTGGGAGGCCGGGCGCGGTGGCTCAAGCCTGTAATCCCAGCACTTTGGGAGGCCGAGGCGGATGCATCATGAGGTCAAGAGATCGAGACCATCCTGGTCAACAAGGTGAAACCCCGTCTCTACTAAAAATACAAAAAATTAGCTGGGCATGGTGGCGCGTGCCTGTGATCCCAGCTACTCAGGAGGCTGAGGCAGGAGAATTGCCTGAACCCGGGAGGCGGAGGTTGCGGTGAGCCGAGATCGCACCATTACACTCCAGCCTGGGTAACAAGCGAAACTCCGCCTCAAAAAAAAAAAAAAGAAAAAGAAAAAGAAAAAGAAAACCCATGTGGGACACTTGTGTACAAGATAAGCCATGTTGAAAGATTATTCATGTCCACATAGATGCTGGTCTGTCCCTTGAACCACTGTGGGAGGTGACTCCAGTGAGGTTCCCAAATCTGGTTTATCATCTCTCCAACCCCCCACTCCCTCCTGGCCTTTTTTGCCTATGCTGGAGTGCAGTGGTGCCATCTTGCCTCATTGCAGCCTCCGCCTCCCGCGTTCAAGCAGTTCTGCCTCAGCCACCCCAGTAGCTGGGATTACAGGCATGTACCACCATGCCTGGCGTGTATTTTTAATAGAGCCACGTTACCCAAGGCTAGTCTCAAACTCCTGACCTCAAGTGATCCACCCGCCTCAGCCTCCCAAAGTGCTGGGATTACAGGCATGAGTCACTGTGCCTGGCCTCATTCTTAGCCCTTGCCATTCCCTTCATAGCTCCTTTCTACCAGCTGTAGTGTGCACAGAGAGAAAGGGGTGCCTTCTGAAGCACGTTTTTTTCTCTTTTCATTACAGGCAGCAAGCTGCCCCTTGGGGGACTGTATTCAAGTCAAGGTGTCACAATAAGACTATGGCTGCGTTGGGGGATGGTAGAGGGTTTGCTTACTTTTCTCTGTGCTTTCTTACCTAATAGGCTCTGGATTACTGCCACAGCAAGGGAATCATGCACAGGGATGTGAAACCTCACAATGTCATGATAGATCACCAACAGAAAAAGGTACCATTACAGCCAGGTAGCAGCAAGCTTGATTAAAAGGCTTTGCGTAGATGGAAAAACTGTCCAGTGCCGTGATGGTTTCTGTAGACCCATGGCGGGTTTTTTGGCAGACTTTCATTACTGTGATTTCTCCCATCTCCATTGCTGATTTCTACTTTGTATAGTAGCATAGTACACAAGGAAAGTAGACAGTTTAACTATAGTCACTGGTTTCATTTTGGTCATAGTTTTCTGGAGGGCCTCATAAAGAAATTACAGCTGGTGGTTTCTGCTTCATTTCTTGATGACCCGCAGACCAACCTGCCTGGCCTTAAGAGTACACTTGGGCCTCTCCTATTTTTAATATCCAACTCTGGTTGGCCCTAATCAGTGAGTAAATGGATCATCTAGTATTAGATGAATACATCACTAGAGCAGTGCTTCAATCCTGGAGTGAGACATGTGTCCCCAGCCCTTTCACTGACGCCTGGAGCTTTTAATGAAAGCTGTGAATGATGGGAGAATGTTACCATGTGTAACTGCCTACAGTTTCTGAATGGAGGCAGAAAAAAAAGGGTGAGCTCTGTTGTGATCTAGAGAGTGATGGGCCAGGATAATTTAAAATTTTTTAAAAAGCATTTCAAGTGCTCTGCTCTAAAAATGACCTCTTAAACAGTTGCTGAAAGTGTAATTTTTAAGCCAGCGCACCTGCTCACATTTTTTGTGTGGCCAAAGAATTGTTACCTAATGTGATCTGGCCTTGTAAGGCATAGGCATCTAGAAACACTCCTTTCACATGTTTTTTTCTGTCCTATTTGTAGCTGCGACTGATAGATTGGGGTCTGGCAGAATTCTATCATCCCGCTCAGGAGTACAATGTTCGTGTAGCCTCAAGGTACTTCAAGGGACCAGAACTCCTTGTGGACTATCAGGTAAACTTGTTAGCAGAGCTGCTCTGGGTTATTTATACTTGCTTAGGGCTTTTTCTGGTTTGCTGTTTATCTAGTCAGTTTGGATACACTCAAAACCCAGCCATTATTTTACCCCGAAATGCTAATTTTAGTTTTTTCTCAGCTAGTTGTTTTTTGGGGAGCAGAGAAGTTTTTAAATCTAAAATATCTGCAAAGGTCAAATGAAGACTAGAAATTCAGATCAGTTCTAGGAGCCAGGAAGTTTAATTTTTTTTTTTTTTTTTTTTTTTAAGAAAGAAATTAGCTATGGCCATACCATCATGAACATGCCCAATCTTGTCTAAAAAAGAAGTTTTTTATCAGAAAAATTGATTTCTAATACCCTTGGCGGATGGATTGTCCTTTTCTTCTCAGATGTATGATTATAGCTTGGACATGTGGAGTTTGGGCTGCATGTTAGCAAGCATGATCTTTCGAAGGGAACCCTTCTTCCATGGACAGGACAACTATGACCAGGTGAGCAAACACTATCTGGTTCTTGTTTGTTTGGGGGTGAATACCAAGCAAATAGCATCCTTAGATAGGAATACTATGCTTGAGCCACTAATCATCTTTCAGTGTCTGCATAGGAGCTTTTCTTCAAGCTAAAGATTGCATAGAATTTTGTCAGTTTATCAGGTCCCCAGAAGTAGAGGCAGATAATGCTATCTATGCCAAACTTCCAGAGTGATTCTGTGAAGAAGTCAGGCACCTCCTTGTCTAATGAAACTAGATTTTAGTCATGGGATTTTGATGCACCTGTACTAGTCCACCTCTAGAAGATTTATCATCATAAGTTGTGTTATTTTTATTTTATTGCACTTTAGGTTCTGGGGTACATGTGCAGAACATGCAGGATTGTTGCATAGGTACATACATGGCCATGTGGTTTGCTGCCTCCATCCCCCTGAAGTTGTGTTATTTTAAAGGCAGTTTGGAAATTTGCATTCATGTGAACTTCTTGTCCTTGGGTCTGTCTGCCTGCCCTGGACTCGGATTTGTATCTGGTCCCTGCAAATTAAGTGGTGTGGAAGTCTTCTGATTCCTTGGTACAGCGTCCTCATGGGCTCACAGTGAGTTCTGTGCTCAGTGATTTGGTCAGTTTGTTTTGTGTTACAGCTTGTTCGCATTGCCAAGGTTCTGGGTACAGAGGAGCTGTATGGGTATCTGAAGAAGTATCACATAGACCTAGATCCACACTTCAACGATATCCTGGGACAGTAAGTAAGAGAGAGAGAGTGCTTTCCCTTACCCCATTTCAGAAGTGGAAAGGTTAGCCAAAGTCACTTTCTTTTCCTGTTCTAATTATAGTAAAATGGAAATAGCCATCTTTTTTCCTATGCATATTTTCTTTAACTTATTTTAGATATTTGGGCTTTACTTACATCTTTTAATCATTTTACTTCTCTGAGAGGTAACCTGTTTGTCAATAGAAAAGGGAAAAGAAAAATAATGTTACAGAAAAAAAGTGTTCTGGTACTGCATGTGCTTTTTAATGGCCAAACTTGGAGAGTGGTGATTCAAATAAGAGCCTTAGTTTGTTTTTAAATTTTTTTTACTTCATACCTCTTCAAGATGAGGAGACTTATAATTTCTTCTGTTCTCTGTAAAGGATTTTCTATACGATAGCAAATTTTAAAGCGCATTGAGTTTTCAGGTACAGTGCAATAATATTGAAAAATAAATGTTTTGTTAATAGTTTTCAAGCAGTATTTTATGGAACCTCCCTGTGTCTGAGGCTAGCCCTGGGAAATATATCTGCTGACCAATAAAAATTACTCACTCTTCTGCATGCCACCCAGAATTGACTTTAAGAGCCTACAGCATACAAACTAAATTAGAGAGGTTCCATGTACTCTAAATCAGATTTAGAAGTTTTACCTATTTCTGTTTATCTAATCGGGGAGCACCATTGTGTTTCTGGATGTTATGCTGTAACTATGGGGCAGTAGGTCAAGTACCAGTTAGAGATTTCACAAGCTTATAATCAGTGCATTATTCTAAGGTTTTGTTGGCTTTAGCCCTAGGAGATAAGGATTCTTGTTTAGTCTCAGATGACTAATGCTTCATTTTTCTTCTCAGACATTCAAGGAAACGCTGGGAAAACTTTATCCATAGTGAGAACAGACATCTTGTCAGCCCTGAGGCACTAGATCTTCTGGACAAACTTCTGCGATACGACCATCAACAGAGACTGACTGCCAAAGAGGCCATGGAGCACCCTTACTTCTGTGAGTCTCCAGGGACTGTGTTCAGGGGGTGATTCATTAAAGAGAACACATCTTCCACTCTTTCTCTTTGAGACCAGTTAGGAGAATTCTAGGGTATTTGAATTAGATTATTCCTAGAATTTGGCCTCATTAATTGTAGATGATTGAGACAACTTTGCAATCAGTTTCTTGATCACCAGAGGTGTTTGAGTATTCACTGGTTGGATCTCCCTTGAGTTCAGGCTGTTTGACTACTTCCTGTCACCCTGAATTCATAGATCACAAGTATCTAAGATTTGCTCTTAAATATATATACATTTATGTGGAAACCTAATTGAAGATTATTTCTCCCCTCAGAAAACCAGTACTTAGTTAAAGGTAGTAAGATAACCATTATATATTTTGAAAGAAGGAGATGAATAGATGGATGGATAAAAGGAATTTGAGGAAAGGAAAATAGATGGAGAGATTTCACTGAAATCCTGACTGAACTGCTCACTTAGCAGTGTGTACACATTCAGTTTGCATGGTTCCTTATTGTTCTGCATGTGTATGATCCTCCCCACTGATAACATGTGTTTCAAATAAACTTCCTGCTATTACCAGTCTCCTTCCTGGGGAGCAGGGAGGTTGAGACTTAACCTCAGCTCACTTTCTGAATCAAGATGGAAATGTTTAACCCTTAAAGTTGTTGTCTCTGGCTTGATCAATATGCTGTCTTTCCCTCTCCTTTTTTTTCCTCTGGAGATTAAATTTTTGCTTGAAGAATGTATCACTGTAGTCTTGAACCTGTGGCCCATATGCATAAGGGAGACAGCAAATTTAAAAGCCTTCAGCCTTCTAGACCTCAGCCCCAGAGTACTGAGATGTCCCCTCTCCAGTATCTGGCTCAGAAAGCTGTTTTTACCCTTTGAGTTAGGTCAAATTAGGATTACTAATGTTTATGACATGTAATTCATGATCGTTCTGCTTTTCTGAATACATGTCATACTTCAATTTGAAAAATTTCAAAGCACTGTTGCTTAAAACGGATTGGTCTTCTAATGGCTCTTTTACTCACCTTTCCCTTAAAGTGCTTATTACTCTACATGCTTTGAAGAAATTAGGGGTTAGAGATGATGTTAGTATTCAAAGAAAATAAAACTAGTAGAAATGTTGAACAGTGGGCAATTAGGGTTTCTATGCCTCTTAGCAGTTGAGTTCCTACTCTGAGGAAGTATAAGACCTGATGGCAATGACAGTTGCTGGTTATTTTTCAGTGTTTGGTTTTTATACGGCCGGAATTTTGTGATTTCTGGCTCCTCTGTTGCCCTCTGACCCTGGCTTGCCTATCAATCTGTCTCTCAGTCGAAAGTGTGGATTCGCCTTGGGCTTCTCTCAGCACTCCTCACCCTGATTGCCTGACTTTCCTCCTGCTTTCTTGCAGACCCTGTGGTGAAGGAGCAGTCCCAGCCTTGTGCAGACAATGCTGTGCTTTCCAGTGGTCTCACGGCAGCACGATGAAGACTGGAAAGCGACGGGTAATGCAGCATTGATGCTTGCCAATAAAACCAACCAACCAAACACAAACCTTGAAGGAAAACTACAGTGTGATAAAAAGAAATTCTAATCATTCCTTCTAAATGCAAAGAAGAGTAAAGACCTAAAAGTCTGTCAAAAAGCAAGAAACTCCCCAGTGCTAGTCTCCAGGGAGCTGTCACTGTGGCAGCATGGGGATGCACCTAGTTCAGGATCTAAAGGAGCTCTGCCTCTGGAATGCATGGGAGATAGAGACTCGGAGTTGTTGTACATTTACCTTTGTTTAACAGGGCACCACTGTTGAATTAACCCATTCAGTCAACAAGCTCTGAATGTCTGACTTCCTATCTATTCCATTGTGGTCTGGGTTTCCTTTGGTGAAATTCAGGCTCAAGTTTTAGCGAAATGTCAGCAGTCTATACTGACACACCAGCCTCATTTATGAAAAGGAGATATTAAAACAGTGACAGTATTTTTTTTTAAGCTCTTTACAAATCCATGTTTTATGTATTTTTTTATGACATGAGCTCTCCAGGAAATGTACCTCATCCCTGCAGTTTTCCTCCAAGTGGATTCATTTGGGAGCAAACTGCAGTCACCTTCACAAGAGTCCTCTTTGATGTCAGGAGGGATCATGAAACCTTGCAATGCCATGAACTGGTCCATCAGTGCCATCAAAAGTTCCATGCTAAGTGCATAACTTGGAGCTCACCATAACCTTTGTTGATTTGCCTAACCATAAAATCCTGTTGCTGGTTTTTTGTTGCTTTTTCTTTTTTTTTTTTTTTTGGCAGCCTTGTGAGGAGAACTTCACCACTTCCCAGCACATCCCTATGTGTGCACCTTTTTTAATGCACCTCTCTGAAACAGAGACCTTTTTGTTCGCAACCATAACTAAAGCTGGAAAGTCAGTCTTCAGGCAAGGTGAGGTAGGAAAACATCCCATTAGAATTTTTTCACAAAAGACCGAAAAAAACAACTTTCTCCCACTTCCTTTTATTCCCATGAGATACAGTTTCCCACTGTAATCAGGGTAATATGCATTTGTAAGTTCTGATATGTGACACATTTATGTGATGGCAAAGATAAGTCTGTCTTGCATGCAGGTATTAGAGTTGTGTGGGCAGGGTCATCTGATAAGCAACTGAGACGAATATACAAGGGGCTTGGGGAAGAAAGTGGTGCTCCTGGAGCAAGTGTTGGACCCATTGTGCCAACCTTCATGTTAGCAGAGAAAGCTAGAATTTAACAGAAATAGGGCTGATTTCATTTTGGGGACTCAGCACCAACATGGTTTCTAGGCAGTCCCCTCACCCCAGCTGCAGGGCCATGCCACAGCTCTGGGGACTTCACATACCTAGGCTAGAACTAGAGGTGTCTACCACATCACCCTTTAGGATTTCTTTATTAACTATTTAATAATGCCATACATTTTTATAAGGTTAGATTGTTTGTTTGAAACATTTGTTTACATTCCATATTCCAATAAAATCTTATTGGTATTGGTAGCAGGTCCTATCTCTAAATGTAGATTCTATTTTTGTCGTTTGGTCTGTGGGAACTTAAAATACAAATGAAACTCTTCTCTTATTATAGAGTTGAGGTTATAGAGTAAAAAAATAAAAAATAAGATCCCAAAGCCAAGAAATGCATTCAGTTAAGGTCCTCATACCAATGCTGCCTGCTTGCATTGCACATTCTGTATATTAATGTAAACATTTGTTCTACCTGAAAGTTAAAAGCAAGATGTGAGCTCTTGCCTATATTGATAGGTCAGGCAGCAAAACTCAGTGTTTTGGATTATCAGAAGCCTTCTAATGTGCCCTTATAGGCAATCCTGAAGCATTGGATATTGTCAGGGAGATGTGCCACTGCGTGTCTTTCCTGCTCCCCCTCCAATCTCCGTTATCACCAACTCCTCAGCCCTCCCTTTTTTTTTTTTTTTTTTTTTTTTCTTCAAGTTGCCTGTCCGGACCAGGCAAGAGGAGCCTACTGGAGGGTCTTGGTGAAGCGGTAACCCTATTCCTTTCTCTTGGGTTCCCCAGAGGTAATAAAAGTACCTGGAGGAGAAGAGTCAGGTGATTGCCCTCTGCCTGTCTCTCTGACCATGATGTAGGTGCAGACACAGCCTGCCTGCCTTGTCCTAGGGTTTTGTAATTGCAGCTTTGACACAGACATTCTTCCTTGTAAGCACACAGCTTGCTTTTCCAGCACCTATACTTTTACTTCTCTTCATGCCTTAGACTTAGAACATAACTGGGCTTGAAATGCTCACCCCTTCCTGGGTCTGGTCTGGACACCTAGGCCATTCTTTCCCAAACTGAAGTGAGTCCAGTTTCAGGCTGTCTTCTTTTCCTGTCTCCAAAAACCATTTTTGTTTCCAAACCTAGCTCCCCTGAAATTTTAAGACTATTTACCTAGGTTCGGAGATGGTCTTGGAGAGTTCCAAAAGGGGTGTGTGCGTGTGTATCTGTCTGTCTGTGTGTGTGTGTGTGTCTAATATTTAGACTAAATCATGGTAAATATATGTACCCAGTATCCTTTTCAGTTAGCATATTCTTTCTTAAACTCATCTCAGTACTTTTCATTTGTTTGCATCATTATCTTAAACAGGTTAAAAGTGCCTATGATAAGGACTTAATTATTTCCTAAAGAAAAGCAAAAAATGTGGGGAACAGGGTAGTGTTATACTATCATCTCAGGTACTGCCTATGTTCAAGAACATAGACCTGGTATGGTGAGAACAAAGGTTCCTATGCCAAATCCAGATGGATATGTCATTTGTTGGCTACAAGTGAGCCTAACTGCAAGCTTTGCTTCTGCTGAGAAATCTCATGGTGAGAGCAGAACTCATGAAGTGCTGAGTCATATTTGCATCTCTGGTGTGGTGGCAGTTCACCCTCCCCTGGATGCTGTCAGCTGGCCTTGCTTTCATCCTGTCCCTGTAGGCAGGGTAGGTGGCTGGGTAGAAGCCATTGAGTGTATGATGCAGACCAAGTTTTCCTGGGCCTTTCACCAACTAGAGAAGCGCCAGTGTTGTTCAGTGAGGCACTCAACACCAGTCACTCAGCTGGCCTCCTCCCAGACATTCTGTAACTTGTCACCGCTCACAAGGTTTAAGGCAAATGTGTTCCCTTGCAGAGAGGAAGGTGCTCTCAGACTGATAGAGGAGACAGATGAACTCGTAATCCTTGGGGACTTGGAGAGAGTGGCTAGGGGAGGGACTGTTAAAAGAAAAGGGACCAATAAGAAAAACCATCTAAAGGTAGCTCTTGAGGAGGAAATGGACTTCTTAAGGAGATCAATTAGAGGCTACCAAGTTTATGTTCTGGAATGCACCCTGGGGAGGTTGCTGCCCCCTGGATTGGTCCCAGTGGACTGAAAGGTGGTGCTCTCGAGTCAGGTGCTGAGTCCCAGAGAGAGCTGGGTGCCGTGGGGCTCACGGTCTGTGCCTACTCAGGGAAATGACTTAGGTTCTCCCAGGTGCTCTGTTGATAAGGATGGAAGCAGAACTACTTTGAGACACAAGCAACAATTGGAAGAATTTTTTTATATGAATTGAAATAGATCTAAGAGCCCGGTTAACAGTTTCCTTTAATGCCAGTTCAGATTAAATGATTAGGAACCTGTGTTGCTGTGTGAGCACCCACAGGAACAAGCAAACTTACTTCCTACAAATAAATGATGGGATATTAATTGATCAGAGTCACGGTCGTTTCAATATAAACCCTTCCGAAAGCAAAAGCAGGGACCACATGAGCACACAAGAAGCCAAAGTTTGTCACTGACCTTAATAAATTAAGACTGAGTAACATCCTGCCTTTAGGAAAAACTAACCCCAAGGTGGAGACCAGGGCAGGGGACGTGGCAGCGAAGCATGGGGCCAGATCAACCAGTAATAACATGCTTCTGAGCTATGTGGATGTGTAAATGAAAACACCCCAAACTAGATATTGTAGAGGCTGGAAAAATATGTGATGGGATTATACAGGTGATGCATATTTTCGTGTCGAGACTCAACAATGTGCTACAAATGTGATACTTAACCCTGAACTGCATGTATTGGGGATTGTTTTTTTTTTTTTTTTTTTTTTTAAGAAAAAAAAAGAAAACAACTTTGAATCAATAAATTAACAGTTTTTCACTTGCTGGCTCTTCTTGCTGTAAATGGTGACTAAGAGGTTGGGACAGAAATCTTGACAACTAGTGGAAAACTTGGATAATCTTCAAGGACCATGGAGCCTTCTGTTTCCTTCTGTTTGCAGAAAAGCAACACTGCCTGGGTTGTGATCCTTTACAAGTGACTACTTCAGACACAATTGGCCACCTCTTTGTATCACTGGATGACTGATGTATGATTTATGTGCTGCTGCCCTTAGAGGGAAGAAAAATGCCATGTTAAATCCTGTTTTCTTAAATAAAAATGTTGACAATAACCAGCCTTCCCAAGTGGAAGACAAACCATTGCTATGAGGACCTTAACTTGTATTTCCTGTCTCTTTGGGGAGAGGGGAGGGGTAAACTTTGAAAGGCAAAGATGTATGTTACACCTTGGTATGAAGACTTTCCTTTAGCAGAAGTGGGACTAGAGTGTCCTGGTGGGAGTATTCCATTTTTATGTACTTGCCTCTGAGTCAGGCCACTCAGACACCTGCTTCTTGGGATTGACTGTTTCAGTGCATGACTTTAACCTTGTGGCCAAGTGTTCTGCATTTGTGAAATTCCCTCCCTAGCCCCATTCCTGGCAGCACATGCTATTGTTTGTAAGATGGTGGGGTCTTTAATTAGTGTGCTTTCTCCTCACTGAGCCTCTGTGGAGTTGGGTGCTTGGAATCAGCTGAAGTGCTTGAAGGCAAATACAGTCATTTCTTAACCTTATGCACCACACAGCCGTTTTCAAATACTACGCAGTGGAACCCTTCCTTTACCCAAAGAAAGTTCATGAAATGATGCTGTGTGTGTGACAGCTTCCCAGGTGTCTATTCGTTTCTCAGTACTGTAGTGCTGTTCTGGGAGGCACTGCTGCTAGAATCCCACTGCTGGCGTCTCACCACCCACTCGCTATGCTGGACATGGAAGGAGAAATGAGGTTTTCAGGCCATGCCAGGCAGCTAGCTGTTTCCAGGGGAGAGTTAAAAATATTTGAGCTCACTTACTGCTCTTTATTAGTGGACTCAGCCCTTTTTCTGAGTAAATACAGACCCCTTCTTAGTCCCAAAACACCTCAAATAATCAGGTCAGGTCTGAGGGCGACCTAGAGCTGATTGCTGAACTTGTAGCTTGACTGGTACAGAATGGTCAAGAGTCCGAGGCTTCTCCATTAGTGCCCTGGACTCAAGGGATGGGGTGGGGTGGGGTAGGAGACTGGGTCACAACACGTGCCCAGAGCACCCTTCCTGTGACAAAGCTGTGCTAGAGACCACAGAAGGCTGTGATCGGAAGAAGAAGGCAGAGGGTACTGTTGGAAACCTGAACTCAAAGCAAGCTCTTGCAGGGTTCACCAAGTGGCATGGGAAAGCCAAGCTTGCATTCTAGCACAGGCCCTCCTCCCACAGGTGGAGGCCTCCCTTGCCTGCTCAGGTTGATTAATGCCATCTTTCCCTCCTCCCGTCTCTTTCCCCAGGTCTGTTGCGGTTCTCCCACTTTTCCATAAGCAGAACAAGAACCAAATCAAACGTCTTAACGCGTATAGAGAGATCACGTTCCGTGAGCAGACACAAAACGGTGGCAGGTTTGGCAAGCACGAACTAGACCAAGCGAAGGGCAGCCCACCACCGTATATCAGACCTCACTTCCGAATGTAAAAGGCTCACTGGCCTTTGGCTTCCTGTTGACTTCTTCCCAACCCAGAAAGCATGGGGAATGTGAAGGGTATGCAGAATGTTGTTGGTTACTGTTGCTCCCCAAGCCCCTCAGCTCATCCCGTGGCCGCCTGTTTTTCCAGCAAACCACGCTAACTAGCTGACCACAGACTCCACAGTGGGGGGACAGGGGCAGTACGTGGCATGGCGGCAGTTACATATTATTATTTTAAAAGTATATATTATTGAATAAAAGGTTTTAAAAGAAATGCATGGAGAGTTTTCAGTATGGAAAGGGCCATCAACCGGGACCTGTGACACAGGACGAGCCAAAAGCGCATTCATGCCAGGTTCTAACCAGATGAAGCAGGAGAGGTCCCTGGGGCAAGGCAGGCCAGTTTTCATTTTTGTTTTGAGATGGGTTCTTGCTCTATGATGGAGGCTGGAGTGCAGTGGCACAACCATAGCTCACTACAGCCTCGACCTCCTGGCCTCTTGTGAGCTCCCTGCTTCAGCCTCCTGAGTAGCTGGGATTACAGGTGCATGCCACCACATCTGACGAGTTTTCTTAAGTTTTCTTGTAGAAATGGTATCACCATGTTGCCCAGAGTGATTCAAACTCCTGACTCAAGCGATCCTCTCTCCTCGTCCCCCTAAAGTGCTGGGACTACATAGAGGTGTGAGCCACCACACTCAGCCAAGGAGGGCCCATTTGTTAAGGACTCTCTTCCAGAGCTGAGTGGTGTTAAGTGGTACACAGTGAACCAGTCCTAGGAATGGGAATAACCATGGATTGTTCAAGTAGACTCTGAGCCAGGAAAGCTGGGCCTTGCCTTGAACACATTCCCACTGGCCAGCATCCTCCCCTGGCCTCACCTTCAAATCAGGAGAGTCACCTAGCATGGTAGGTGGTGGGTAAATGTCGCCTCATGTGAATTTAGGAAGATGCCTTGGCCCTTTCTTGGCTGCCCCTTTGTTCCCGTCTCCACATTTCATTCCATCTCAATCCTGTCCCCCCAGCTGAAGAAAGGCCTCATCTTGGAGGCTGGTTGAGTCTGCTGTCCTGAGGCAGGAGAGAGGTCAGGGTCTCTGATATGAGAGCTGCTTGTGACCACACATTCTGAAGCACCCATGAACTGGAAGGAAAAGTGGACACGCAGATACAGAGCTAGAACAGAAGCACTGGTTGTATTTGTTAAATGAGAGAAACCCAGTGCTATAAATGAGCCTTCATTGGCTCCCATGGTCCTCAGCTGAAGACAGCAGTGCCAGGGCAGGTGAAAGCAATGGCCATGACCTTGTCCTGGCTGCTGGTCCATGTCCTCTCACTGCTTGTAGGACAACAGAAGCTGTGGGCAGATCTAGACACCCAAGCGACTGCATGGCACACCAGCTAGGTCTCCACAAAAGCAACGTGGTCCACGCAACATTCTCCTCTGTGGCTAGTTCTGGCCCACGGTGGAAACCAAGTGTGGATGTTCACAGTTTTCAAAGTGACTAAAGGAAAGCAAAGAGGCCACTTTCAGGGCAGCCACAGCATCCTGGTGTCCTTTGGACCAGCTTCTGTGGTATCTAAGCTGCTGCTCAGGTGTGGGAGCTTGAAACTGTGCATGCCCCCTGGACGCCAGCAGGTGACGACCCACAGGCCCCACCAGTAGGACACCAAGCAGATAGACTTGGTGCTTTCCAGCTCCATCACTGGCCTAATTTTCTCAAGCTGTCTTGCTCATGGGGCCCTTTGTGATTCAAGGCTGTGCAAATTTCTGTTAGTCTCCCAGATCTCTGGGATGGCATCAAAATACCTTGTTATAATGAGCATGTCCTGTGAACATGCTTAATGCATGCACGTTTATCTCTGCTACAGAGCACAACTTGCTGCCATCTGAGGTCTTTTCTGGACATGAAGGGTCCATTCTGTGCCAGTCAAAAATGATTCGAACAGAATCATTTGATTGGCTTGCAAGTCATGTAGAACTGGGAACCATAGCTTCCTCCTCCAATTTCCCCCCTCAACCAGGGCTCTCTTTAAGTGTGAAAATCATGTTTTCCTCTAAAAACCTGAAACCTCTGAAGCATATCAAATAACTTTGAGTTTTATGGATAATTGCAGTTGGGTGGAGAGCGTGTGGTTGTAGAAAGAAGGAAAAGGAGGTGATTTTGAATAGGTTGTTTTGACTTTTGAAAGCAGGGACATGCCCTAACACCCACTAACATGAAAACCATCTTCAGCTCCTCCTCAACGTGCTTGGAGATTCAGAACATCAGCTCTCATCTCCCAGTGGTCCTGGTTGTGTTCTAAACAATATTGATTGCATTTTCCTGATTACGAAAGTAATATTTGCCGGTGGTAAAAAATTCAAATGCTTACAGAGAAGTAAATAATGAAAGCCCCTGCCCCCAGCCGCATAACACACACACACACACAACACACAAACAACAAGCTCGCATGAAAGCCTCTTCCTCCCTTAGAGGTAACTACCATTAAATTTTGTGTATATCTGCCCATTTTTTTCCTATGCACTTAGTATGATTCACTGCAACCTCCGTCTGTAATCCCAGCACTTTGGGAGGCTGAGGCGGGCGAATTACTTGAGGTCAGGAGTTCGAGACCAGCCTGGCCAGTATGGTGAAACCCCGCCTCTACTAAAAATACAAAAAAATTAGCCGGGTGTGGTGGCACACACCTGTAATCCCAGTTACTCAGGAGGCTGAGGCAGGAGAATCGCCTGAACCTGGGAGGCAGAGGTTGCAGTGTTAGAATCTAAGTATCAGAGGTTGCAGTGAGTCGAGATCGCGCCACTGCACTCCAGCTTGGGTGAAACAGCGAGACTCTGTCAAAAAACAAAAACAAAAAAACACCTCAAGGTCCTGGGAATTTACCTATGCCAATGCAGTCTTGCATTATTTATTTATTTATTTATTGAGATAGAGTCACAGTCTATTGCCCAGGCTGGAGTGGACTAGCATGATTTTGGCTCACTGCAACCTCTACCACCCAAGCAATTCTCCTGCCTCAGCCTCCCAAATAGCTGGGATTACAGGTGCGGGCCACCACGCCCAGCTAATTTTTGTATTTTTAGTAGAGACAGAGTTTCACCATGTTGGCCAGGCTGGTCTCAAACACCTGACATCAAGTGATCCACCTGCTTCAGCCTCCCAAAGTGCTAGGATTACAGGTATGAGCCACCACACCAGCCGCATTATTAACTGAAGAAATATGGGTGCCCTTTAAAGAGTTTGTCAGATTAGGAAACAAAAAGAGCCAGAAGGAGCTAAACTAGGACTGTAAGGTAGATATCTAATGACTTCTTGTTGTATAAGTCTTGCAAAATTGCCCGTGTTTTTCATGAGTGAGCAGGTGCATTGTGGTGGAGAAGGAGTCTCTAGTGAAACTTTCCCAGGCATTTTTCTGCTAAAGCTCTGGGTAACTTACTCAAAACACTCCCATAGGAAGCAAATGTTATCATTCTTTCGCTCCCTTTGCTTTGAGCATCCCAAAAAGCCATTGCCATGACCTTTGACTGGTCTACTTTTGCTTTGGCCAGACCACTTTCACCTCTGGGTAGCTACTGCTTTGTGTTCTGTCATCAGGATCGTACTGGTGAACCCATATGTCATCTCCTGTTACAGTTTTTTGAAGAAATGCTTCAGGTTCTTGGTCCCGCTTATTTTTAATTGCCATTGAAAGCTCTGCTTTTCTCTATAGTTGATCTGGGCACAGCAGTTTTAGCACCCATCAAATGGAAAGTGTGCTTAGCTTTATTTTTCTTGATTTTTAAAATTTTCAAAATTCTGTAAACAGAACAAATTGAGATGTCTGTGCTGTTGGCTATTGTTTCTTTTCTTTTTTTCTTTTTTGAGACAGAGTCTCACTCTGTCATCCAGGATGGAGTGCAGTGGCAAGGTCTCAGCTCACTACCACCTCCACCTCCCAGGCTCAGGTGATCTTTCCACCTTAGTCTCTTGAGTAGCTGGGATTATAGGAGGCATGCGCCATCATGCTAGGTTAGTTTTTAAATTTTTTTTTGTAGATACAAGGTTTCATTATATCGACCAGGCTGGTCTCGAACTCCTGGGCTCAAGTAATCCTTCCATTTTGGCCTCCCAAAGTGCTGGGATTACAGGTGTGAGCCACTGTGCCCAGCCGTGTTATCATTTGAATTGGGGAAAATGCATAGTTACTGAGAGAAAGTTATGAGAACAATACAACCCCTAAGAGACCACAGAGTTTTTGTGGGCCGGCCACTGGGCTCAGTGAGCCCTGATTCCACACTGAGGAGGGTCTTTATGGACTGGGTGGGTCTGGAGCTGCAGAGGCCAGGAGACACAGAGCCTGTGCTGGGCCTGCAGTGGCCAGGAGTCCCAAGTCTGTGATTCCAATTCACTGATTCAGCACAAACCTACTGCATATCCACTTAAAAATGCAAGCACTAGGATTGAGCACTGGGAATACATCTATAAGCCAGACAGACCTAATTCTTTCTCCCAGAAGCTCAAAACTGAGTGATGGGTGAGACAGACAATAAGCAAATAACGATTTAGACTGTCAAGGGGTGATGAGTGCTAGGAAAAACTCAGGCCGAGTAATGGGAGGACAAGCGTTGGTAGGGTGTCAAGGGGGTGCTGTTTTTAAGACTGGGTTGTCAAAAACATCCTCTCCAGTAAAGTCGTATTGTGGGCTGAGTGATATCTCCCCAAATGCATGTCCACCCAGAACCTCAGAATGTGACCTTATTTGGAACGAAGGTTTTGCAGATATAATTAGTCAAAGATCTCAAGGTGATGTCATGCTAGGTTCATGCTGTGCCCTAAATCCAATGCTGGGTGTCCTTATAACGAGAGGACACAGAGATAAGGCAGCACGTGGAGACGGAGGCAGAGATTGGAATGACGCTGCCACAAGCCAGCAAATGCTTGGGGGCCCCAGAAGCCAGGAAGAAGCAAGGAAGGGCCCTGCCCCAGAGCCTTCAGAGGGAGCACAGCCCGGTCAACACCTTGATTTTGGACTTCTTAGCTTCCTGCACTGTGACAGATTACACTGTTATTTTACATTTATACATTATTTTGAATTAATTTTATTTTTATTTTAGACAATTGCCACCATACTCAGGTTGTGGTCATTTGTCATGGCAGCCCTGGGCAGCTAATACAGACAGTGACTGAGTGGAGTGCTGAGTGCGGAAAGGAGTGAGCCAGTGGAACTGGCAGGACCAGCCAGGGCAGGGGCAGGGGCAGAGGGGAGCGGGGGAGAGAGGGATGCAGGCCCCGG